CGCGTGGTCCGGGTCTGACCGACCGCCATACGTCCACATCAGGTGCGTCCTCTCCGCCAACGGCGCAACCCGGCGGTGGTAAAGGGTGTGGAACACCCGCACCCCATCAAGGCTGCCCCTTATGAGCTTCCGCAGCTCCTCCTCGATGACCCCCACCTTGTGCTTCTTCGTGTGGGCACAGCCCCACAACCAACTCTCCTGCTTCACCGGCCTCCCACCGGTAAACGCTGGAAACGGCGCCCCCTCCGGATTTCGGACATAAAACCACTCCCCATGCCATCCCGGTTGAGTCACATGGGGTGTATGCGGGGTACGAGCCTCCCACACGTGGCTTCCTCTACAGGACGAAGCCTCCGTCCGGCGCGATCGCGGCCGAACTCTAGTCCGCCATAGCTCTCTCGGAGAAGAAAAGCCGGAAGAGATCCACGTGCGGCTCAATCCCGAGGAAAGCCTCACAGACGGTGACGAAACCAGCGATGTGCAGCACCCCCATCGGGTTAAGGTGCTGCAGCTCCAGACGCCACTCGTTGAGGAGCCCGCGCAGGAACCAGTGCGTGGGGTACCCTGGTCCACGCTCATGGAAAGTGAGGAAAGAAACCACCTCGTCGGGACGAGGCTGTGGGAACTCCTCCTTCCCGGGGACCCTCCAGTGCGCCACCTCCTACGGTGGCAGAAACCCCTTCTCGACGAAAGCCTCCAGCACCGACTTCCTCACGGTGGACGACCGCCAGTCCGACATTTCGCTCGGGATCGCAAAAGGATCGGTGAGTTCCTCTCTTCTCCCTCGCTCTCTCCCCCTTCTTCCCTAGAAACCTCCATGGCTCTCAGGGATACTCACGGCAAAAAGGAAAGGGAACAAAAAGAAGGCAACGGCAGAAAGAAGGCAGCGGCAGATGAGGAACAGGCAAAAGAACAAAATAAAAACCCTCTCCCTGCTCCTACTTAAAGGAAAGGGAACAACGGTTAAAGAAGGATGCTCCGATCAGGGGAGGCAGAACGGCGGAGCAAGAATTTCTCTCTCCTTCCCATTTAATGCAGATAAGACTTTTCTTGAACCGATGAGACGCGCCCTGCTCGATGGAACGGCTCCTGATCAGACAGGACGTGGCCTGGCTGTGGCCCACCACTACCGCGCGATCAACCACTACCACACGACGGGCACAGGAACCGAAGCGCCACCGCACGCTGGCGGCTTCCCGCCTCCCCGGGCTAGGCCAGGGGAGACCAAAAAATGAAATCTCCGCTGGGAGACCAACCGATCCCCCGAGCCGATCTAATCGCTCAGGATAAACCCCAAGACACGGGTAGGAAGCAAAGGGACGCCCCTTGTGGGCCATGCCGACTCCGTCCTAGGCAGCGAAGCACGGGTCCCGGTCGGACGTTTCCGACTGAAAGCTCTCCGAACCCCGTCACTCTAGTCGTCAAGGTAAACACTATCAAAACCTCCTCTATTTCTTTATAAATCATTCATACATCCATACGCGCATTCATTTCATACGCCTGAACCCCCCGGACGGTTAGGGCATGAACCGCCTAGGGGCTCGGGAACTAAGCATCTCACGTGCAGCGAAATGCACCAGAACGCTCCGTGTTGCGTCGCGAAGCGGCGATTGCCTCATTCGACATGGGCAACCAACAGAGCCAGGTGAGAATACCCGTAGATGAGCACCGTGCGGCCCTAGCCTGGTCCGGCAGACCGGGTCATCTCAACCTTCTCATTCGATCATAAACCTCTCGCCAGGCCCATAGAATCCCCATCGAGGGGAGGCCGTTAGGCCACCCGGGTCAATCTCTGGAACGACCTAGGCATCTGTTGGGTTGCAGGTAAAGGAGTAGTGGAATGTCACAAGAGGGCTATGCCGACCCCGTCACGAACGACGGACCCGGATTCCACTCGATCACACCCGTTAGCGAACTCACCGAGCTAGTCTTCGAGCCCGAGCGATTGGGACAGGCGACAAAACTCAGCCCCTCCGGTTGTGAGGAACCGAGGATGGGGTAACGCGAAATACTCACATCGACCCCCATGAAAGGCCTGATAGGGCTCGGGGGCTCAAGATAAAAATGCCATGGATGGCGACCTCGAACTCGCCAGATCCATAACTACGACTTGCCCGGTCCCATGGCGCGCACAGACGCCAGGATCCGCGAGCATCGCCTCGTCCGATCTTTAACCAAACTAACTACGCTTCGGCTTCAAAATGACTTCACTTCCGACTGTGCTCCAATAAAACCTTTGGGACCACGACTCCCAACTCGCGTCGACAGGATTTATGACATCCGGCTATGGCTCTTGGGACCACAACTCCAAACTCGCGTCGACATGATCTATGACATCCGCTACGGCTCCTGGGACCGTGACTCCTAAACTCGAGTAACGACTTCAGACGGCTTCACTGCACTCCAATAAAACCTGGGACCGTGACTCCTAAACTCGCGTAACGGCTTCACTTCTGACTACGCTCCCAGGATCCGCGTGCTCCGGCTCGTACGATTCCTGAACTAACTAAACTAACTCTCTCGATCCACGGCGCGCACCGACGCCTGGCTCCGTTCGTGGCTCTGCCTCGCCCGATCCCACAGCGCGCATCGACGCCAAAGATCAGTGAGCTCTGTCACGTCTGAACCGAGCTATCTCCATCCGTGGCGCGCACCGATGCCAAAGATCAGTAAGCTGTCTCATCCCCACGCCTAAAACTCCCCTCGGCTGCACAACGACACCGTGGTTAAACAGAACTCCATCTCAAATTAAAAACAAACACGCGACGCTCATTGAATAACACCCCAGACGGTTACGCCGAACCGCCTGGGGCTCGAAACTACACCATGGAGTGCGCTTCGCAGCAAGACCCGCCAACACAACGCAAAAACCTCTCACGACAACACAGAAAACCCCCGGCCGGTTCGCCGAACCATCAGGGGGGCTCGGAGCTACACCCATAGGAGGCGCTCGCCAGCACCCGTAAGCAAGACAAAAATCCCCGGACGACTCTGCTCAAATCGCCCGGAGGCTCGGGGGCTCTTGTCGGGTTCACAAACCCGGGGTCCCTCGGGGATCGGCTTCCACGCTAGGGCTCGGTCCTAAGAAAATGGCATGTTGTTCATGGGCCGGCCCGAAGGTCTAAGAATATGACGGGCCGGAAGGACAGTCCGATCGCCGATCGAAAGGTCCGCCCGAAGGAACGCCCGCTCATCAACCTCTTCGGCCCACCTCCGACCGGAGCACACGCCTCGGGCACCAGCCGCCTCCGGGCGGTCTCTCCGATCGGAAGGCCTGGCCCAAAACGTTGTTTCCTGCTCCGACCCCGTGACTCCGACCGGGGACTCGTAGGAAGCCAACATACCGCTCTTCTCTGACTGGCGCGGCCAGGACCGACTAGAGCCATCCAACCGGGGACGCCCGCTCGGAAAGGACCAGGGGCGAACGGAGAACGCAGCGCACAAGTCAAACCACGATACCAGGGGCCATACCCTGTATGCCTACGGGAACAGTACTCCACAACCGCTCTAACACAAAATAGTATTGTAGGCACCGACATTGATATCTACAGTATTGTAGGCGCCGTCGGACTCCCATACGGCAAAGAGCCTCCCCCATGCCTCGGGACACCGATAGTAGGCGCGAGGGTTCTCCATACCTGGTACACAGGATAGGGCTCCTCACGTAACAATAGTATTTTACAGGTACCGACATCCATCCTTCCTAAAGAAGCCAACGCAACCTCCCATGTGCACCTGACATTCTACAGTGACATCAACAGTATTTTGGACGCCTACCATCATCGCTACCCTCGTCGGCGTGGGCAACAAGGCTTAGAAACATCCATACTCTCTCTATCACATGTAAAGCCATCCCCTTCATCTATAAAAGGGGATGCGCTCCCTCCAACAAAGGGGATCGATTGACCAGAGGACGCTTCTTCTTCAAGCTTAGATTCACTAGATCGATAACTCACAACCCCTCAAGCACACGCTTGAACACCTAGCTCATAGCGGAGTTCCGGTCGTCCTCGGCCCTTTCGGTCGGATCCGACCGGGCCTCTCGCACACCCCTCATTTATCCTTCTCATTTGTGACCCCACTACAGACTTCGAGCAACCTAGGGCTCAGGAATAAAGTCACCGACCGACCAGATTGGACATAGGGCACGTTGCCTGAACCAGTATATATCCTGCGTTATTGAGTGCTAGGCCACCTCCGATCAAAACGTACAACAAAAATATAAATATTTACTAGTTGATCACTTTCTGTACCGACACTATTTTTTTTTGCTTCATCTCAACTCCTATTTTTGTGAGAGGAGAAAAACAGCTTCACTCATGAAACTATTTTAAAAATAAGTGTTTGGCAACAAAAACAACAGCTTACAACAGCTTCTATGCCAAACAGAACCTATCTGTTTAGACACATAGTAAAATCCAGAAAAACTAATAGGTTCTGTGATTTCAAACGGAGACAGCAAAAGATTGGATCCGATTTTTACTGGCCGCACATGTACCTTGTCACTTTGACAGACATACGTTTCAGGCAGACAGAGCTTAGGGCCTGTTCGGTTCCAAATAAGTTATCACTTATAAGTTAAAAAATAAAAAAAGTGATTTATTTTGTCAAACACTATCAACTTATAAGTTACTCCTGCTTATAAGTTTTAAGTTGGTTCACCCCTATTTAAAACTTATAAATTATCTTTTTTTTACGTGGGACCCACACTTTTAATGAGCTTATAAATCATCTACAACTAAATAGGAATAACTTATAAGTTCAGTGGTTTTCAATTACCGACTTTAATAAGTCACCTGACTGAAACCAAACAGGCGCTTGAGCGTTTCGTTTCATTCTTCTAGATCGGAAAAAGTCCATACTCCGATTTGTGTTCCACAAGTTGAAGCGCACACGAAAAAAGATTGAGAGCAAGATAGATGTCAATTGTCATCCTGCTTTGACAAAGAACGGCAAGGCCACGAGTCAAGACGGACGCAACTGGAACTCTGGAAGTACGATCACCGCAGCGGCTTGAAGATCTGGGAGTAAGGCGAGACGACGGCCTCCTGCACCATCCTCCGGCCGTCCTTGGGGTCGGTCCCCCACTGGACCTCGCTCATGTTGGGCGTCTCCACGAAGAGCATGGTGAACTCGCCCACCTTCTCGGCGCGCCCGCGGCGGCCCGCCCGCAACACCAGGGCGTTCCCCCTGTGGTACGAGAAGATGCCGTCCGTGAGCCGCACGATGTCGCCCGGCTCGAACGCGCCGCACTCGCCGCCCCACAGCAGGAAGTGCACCGCCGCGGTCTCGTCCGCCACCAGCGCCAGGCACGTCACCTCCTTCTCCTCCCTGCCGCCGCCGCCGTCGCGGGCCTGGGCGTGCGGGTGGCGGTGGGACGGGCGGGCCGACGGCGCCGCCTTGTCGAGCACGATGAACGTCGTGTTCACCGTGTTGGTCGCGGCCGGGACCATGTCCTTGAGCTTCACCGTCCTGCCGCTGGAGACGGCGGTGCCCTCGCTCGGCGCGTCGGCCTGCAACAGTTGGATAGTAGATGGTTGATCGACGTGGAATAGAAGCTCCTACTGTGGCATTTGATCGAGCACCTTGTGGGTGTCCTGGGTTCGCATGGCGACGGGAAGCACGAAACCAAACGCGCGAGACGTACCAGTAAGAGGAGGAACGCTGCTGGACTCACCTCTCTCTGTGCCATGTCTGGAGTCTGGACGCCGCCGCCGCCGCCGCCTCCCTGCCTGCTCCCTGCTGCCCTCAAGCCTTGAGCCGTAGCCCGTAGTCCGTAGCGCCCGGACGCAGATTCGGTGATGCGTTCAAATCTGATCCAATGGCTCTTAGCGATCGTGAGGAAAAGCAAAGGTTGAGAGGGAGGCAGCGGAACAGAAGCAATTCGCGTCGGGGTCTCTTCGGCGCGGAGAATCGCGCTCTCCCGCGCCCCTGCTCTACGAAAGTGAAGGGAAGAGGGCCGCGCCGTCGGGAGGCCTTGGAGGATGTGCCGGACGCCTTGGAGCAGTGGGAGACGGCCTACCGCCGGGACGCCGCCGTGGAGTTCCTCCTCGTCACTGACTGGATGAATCTCGCACGCCGCGTTCGGCCTCGCCGCCTGCGGACCCTGGCCACGGCGACCACGCCCCCATCGCTGCATCGGCGTCCCCCACGCGGCCCACCGCAGGTGCCCGAGGGACTGGAAAGTGGGCGCGATCCCGGCGCCTAGCCACTCCGGGATGGAGCCGGGGAGCCCGAATCGCGTTGAAGGCCATGAGCCGCGTGATGTTGCATAGCCCTGTCGACGGCGAAGTGCGGTGATACGCAGCCTAGTCGCGACCGCCACAGTCCGACGATGTTGAGTGAGACGACGCGCCCGGCGCGGCAGCTAGCCCACGCCGTTCACGGGTCCGCATGCCGCGGTCAGCCCGCGCCTTCAGGCCGAGCAAACCCCGCAGCAGTAGAGCACTAGAGCCGTTGGGATCCGACCGTGACGTCAGGTTCCCGCTCGGCATGCTCTGCGTTGAGTTCCCGCCCGCCGCCGCATATTGCACCAGCGCGTCGAACAAGTACCCACAGCAGCCCCTGCCCCTGCCACGAACACCGCCACCCCCCGCTACACCCCCACTGGCACTGCGAATGCCGCCGAGTCTCCGAAGCCCTCCCAGATGCGCCGGGCACCCCTCAGCCCTGCGCGTCCGACACCAGCATTGTTGCTAGGCGATGCAGACGAAAAAACTGAAGTCTGGCTACACCTACACCTCAGTTTTCATGATCGAGCAAAAATATACTAACTATTCTGAAATTAGCCAGCAGTAACATGGCACATGAAAGTGTTCTAGTTTCAAATGCATACAGCACCTTTTCTGAACGAAACAAATGCGTACTTTTTTTAACAGAACACATCCACTGCAGACTTCCCAACACATTCATTGCAGGCTTCTATTACGTACCATAAGTTCAGAGTGAACATGTACTAATGTCTATGATAGGTCCAAAGGAACATGACAGCAAAAGGTAACAAACATAAGTGACGTGGCCCCTTCAACAAAACACAGAACCCCTAACAGGCAAACAAATATAGGTGATAATTGTGCCATCATAAAGCTTACACTCGTTACGGTTACCAATACCCAATTTCCACTCGAGCGAGAAACCTATAGATTATCACTTTAAGCTTCTGATGCACTTGAAGCACCTGTAGTTGGTTCCTCACTTGTAGAGGCTGCTGCTGCTTCCAATGCTGCAGAAATGCAGAAAATTTGATAACATCAGCATTTTGAGAACCAAGTTCCCCTCAGTGAATAATTGCTTCGCCAGACAGAAAACATACGAATTATTGACTAAAGAAACAGGCAAACAACACTAGTTTATTATCCACAGTCTGTCAAGTAACAGCCACATGACTAAAAACTCGAAAAAGAAATACCTATCTCTATTTAACACAAGTACAACGATCTCTATAACTGACAATGACAGAACATGGATGCTAATATATGCAGTGCAGGTTATGACTTTCGAAGAGAAATACTGCCTGTTCGCTTGCTCGTAAACGATCGTAAATTTCCAGCCGGGAACAGTGTTTTTCTTTCACACTAAACCAGCCAGCAGTAAATAATCCACGATACGATACGGCCTCCCGAACAGGCTAATAAAATCTCTTTCCTGCTGGGTGCCTTACTGGGTAACAACTAGACCAGATCATTAACAGCTCTCCAAGGTTAAATATCATCACCCATATCTCTATGCTATCAAATATATAACAGCTAGACCAGATCATTAACATTGGCAAATCATAAACCAAGCAAAAACTGTACCTAGAGTGCACCAGCTGCTGTAGGGAACAATGTTGTGGAAGCCATTACCCTCACATAACATTTTCACCTGGCCTGTCTTCAGCTCAATACTGAATAATCTACCATCTGCCTCCACAAGAAGGACTCCATCAGCGAAGCCAACAAAGTTCGAAGAGATGGAGAGGGGATTAACAGTGAACAGGTTCCCAAGCTCAATGACTCGGATTTGTGTCCATCCAATGTCTCCATTGGGATTCGCCTCCATTGACTAGAGGGACAGTCTGGCTACACCGTGCCCTGTTGCTGATAGAACTGATAAAACTTCTAGGTGCAGATCTAGCGGGTAGAACTTGACTTAGACAATACCTTGTTAAGTACCTCATCGAGAGGGGTCGCGGCCATGGCGCCGCCGACGAGGTAGCAACGACGTGGAGGCGCGGTCCAGTGGCGGCGGCGAAGGCGATGACGCTTCTCGTCGCACACAGCACGCCTTCTCGATCGGTCTAGGATTAGACTCGTTGGGGAACTGGCGGCAGCAGTGAACCTCGTACCTTGCGCCCCGGCCCCCATCTTCCTCTTTATAGTGCTGCGCGACGGGGCCCATCAGTCAGGAGAACGGCTGAACGCCCCCGATCAGGGCGCGGATCAAGGGCCCAATTGGCCATTGGGCCAACTGGTGGAGATCAATCTAACATTCTCCCCCTTGATCTCACCTTATGACTTAAACTTAACTTACTTTATATTTTTTCCATTCCATCGTAGATCAGTGCATAGAGCGTGCCTCATCGTCACGGTCAGTTATCATTGGATTAAACAGCTACAATGCACCTCTTTATTTTGAAACAGATTCTCAACTAGACCCTTAGTATCCAGAAATCATAGACTTCCTCATAAACCCATGTCGACTATGTGTTATCTAAACGCACTGGATAGTTAGCCTTTGGTAAGCGGATCCGCAAGTACTTGCTTGGTACTTATATGCTCAATGCTTTCAAAATGATTTTAGATTTTCTTCTTTACAACATATAACCTAATATCAATGTGTTTGGCAGCACACTTGACATGTTATCTTAGGAGTTAACAACTTTAAATGGTTATTGTTGTTGACTACCATTGTTAAATCCGGATACATATTCCATTAACAACTTTTGCCTACTCCTGAGGCCTCATGACAAGCTATAATATGGTATGCATTATTGATGACACCACAACTGTTTTATTGGAGCTTTTCCACAATAATACTCCAACTGCGAGTGTTAGCAACTACTGTGGATTTCACTACACATCTCACCAAAACTTAACATTTGTACCCACAACTATTTAAGAGTACTTGTTCTTTCTTACTCAGCATGAGACCTATGACACTTTGCAAAAATTGCAAGACATTCTTAACTCCATTCCAGTGATGTATATCTGGACTAGACTTCTGCCAAAATATCTCGGATACATAAGCTACGTCAGGGTAAGTTCTTACTTGTACATTCATTAAGCTTCCAACAGCTGAAGCATATGGAACCATGTTCATTTGATCGATTTTATATCGGTTCCTGAAACACTGAAAGTTTCTAAATCTATTACCCTTGACTATAGGAGTAGGCATAGGTTTACTTGCATGCATACTTTATTTCTTTAGAATCTTTTCTAAATATGTCTTTGCGATAGTTCTAATACCCCTTTTCATTTATCTCGTTGAATTTCAATTCTTAGAACCAATGAGGGTTCACCAAGATCATTCACATTGAAACTTGATGACAAAGATGACTTCTTCTCTAATGGCAGATTAACAATACTACTAGTGAGTAGGATATCATCTATACACGGAATGTGGAAAAGAATTTTCCATTATTGAACTTCGCATAAACGTTATTGTCCTTCTCATCTTCTTTAAACCTAGATTTTCTTATTGTTTCATCAACTTCAAATATTGCTGTCTAAAGACTTATTTTAACCCATAAATGGATTTCTACAGGCGACATCCCATATGTTCTTTTTCTTCCACGACAAAACCTTTGGGTTGTGTCATGTAAACGTTTTCATACAAATCCTCGTTAAGGAATGCCGTCTTTACATCCATCTAGTGTAACTCTAAATCGTAATGTGTCAATAACACCATTATGATTCTAAAAGAATCCTTGCATGAGACTGGAGAGAAAACTCTCATCATAATCTATTCATTCTCTTTGCGTAAAGCCTTTTGCTACAAGTCATGCTTTATATCTTTCCATATTCCCTTTGAAGTCACATTTTGTCTTGTAGACCCTTTTTCACGGCCTACTGTTTTGGCTCCAGTAGAAATTTCTTTTAAGTCCCAAACATCATTGGTATTCATCGAATTCATTTCAACTTCCATAGCTTCTTGCCATTCAAACGAGTAAACGCTTCTCATGGCTTCTTCAAATGAGGAGGGATCACCCTCCATTTGAATTTCTTCACTGACATGGACTTTATAGTCATCAGAAAACTAGTTTACTAATTCTTTGAGACCTTCTGGAGCCTCAGCTATTGGTACTTTTCATGTGGGACTATTGTTGCTCTTCATTACCAAGAGGCAATTGATTCTACAGGCTCCTGTATTACAAGATCCTTGTTTATATTATTCATCTTCTTCGAAAAGCCAACAACAGGTGTTGTATATGTCATACAACATCAATAGGTATCGAGAAATTCATTGTTTTGAATCACTGAAGTGGGCACGCAGTCCCACTTCTCTTCAAGTCATAGGTCTGTACATACCGTGCTCCCCCAGATCGTCTCATCTTTTTATAAAGATAGTGTATCTTCCAATTTCTTATTTGGGTTCAATCTGTTAAAACCTTATATGGCGCTTTAAGCACCACTTTAATATCTTTGATGGTGACTACGCTATCTTCCTCTAGGAACTTAAAAAAATCTAGGAATTTAGTTGTTTCTCTGCTTAGGGGTGTCATTGTTATGACCGACAGTCACATTCATCAAAATCTTTATCTCACTCAGTTTCTTATAAAATCTGTATCTCACTCTTAGTGAAGAGTACACATTCATCAACATCTTTATCTCACTCTTAATAAAGAGTAGTTTCTTAATTGATCTTAATTCTTACTCTTAATTCATCTCACAATTCTCCCCTCGAAATATGGTATGAACTATACTACCATAATTTTGAGAACTATTCAGAAAACTGTGAACGAGGAGACACTTATGACTTATTTCATTCACATGATTATGCTATGCAAATAAAGTTATTTCTTGATCCATATAGGAGTACACTTTCCTCATTCTACTTCAAGAACTCGACGAGGTCTTTTATTAACTGTACTTTTGCAAGTCACGCTTGCATCTTTTTCTTATCCTTTGATTAGTATTGATCATGACGGTGCATTTCTATTGTGCCATGGTCAATACTAGGATAGCATAAGAGCTACCCAAACTTCTCTCGCTATGCGGGATAAAAAATATATGAGTCATCACAAAACTTCTCCCACCATACAGGATTGACTAGCATAAGTACTATGCCAAGCTTCTCCCCATGCGGGATAAATCTATATACAAATTATCGTAACGAAAAATTTAGTCATGATCACTAAAACATTTACTTATACTTTATTTTCCAATTAAATCTTCCCGTTGGTTCCAATTTAATCAGAAAATTAGTAAACTAACAAAAAACTATTCTGAACTGGCTTGACCCAAGCCTTTTCATTCACATACCCTAGCATTGCAGCCCGTTGGTATGCAGCCGAGTGATCTTGTCGGTTAAAAAAAATAAAACTTACAAAACGCTTCTGCATCAATTCTACATCACCGTTGGATAGAAAATAGAATTAATGCATAAAACTCATAAATTAACTTGAAAGACATAACTACTCTTCAAAATTAAATTCTCTCATTGGTTCGAATTTAATTTGAAGATAATCAACATCATTGCAGAGAAACACGATATTAAAATATATTTTATTAGTTCAGGAGCATTTCTTGGTCTTTATCTACTCTCTGAAAAAATGACCATGTTGGTATAAAATTTATCAGAGATTTAAACTTCAAATTTAAACTCATTATAATATTGTCATCATCAACGTTGGTCAGAAAATGGCAATATCATAATCTGAGTTAAACAAAATTGAACTACTCCAATTTAAATTAGGGGATAAATATAATCATAATTTACTAAAAGTAACGGCTCTTCAATTTAAATTCTCCCGTTGGTTCGAATTTAATTAGAAGATAATCAGCATTGAACTTTGCAGTGAAAATATGAAAAAATATAATTTATCAACTTTTTAAAAGCATTTCACTGTACTCATCTACTCTCTAAACAAATTATTGCGTTGGTTCAAATTTTAGTAGAGATCAAACATTAAAACGAATTCATCAAAATGTGCTTGTGAAAAAGATTAAAACTTAAATTAGCGTTTACTGTTCATTTGCCCAGCCAGGGGAAACAGTCCGCGGCCCAGCCCGCAGCAACAGCACGCGGCCCACTCGCACGCGTGTGCAGCGCCTCCCCCGCGCCCAGGCCGCAACCTGGGCCTCGGCCGGGAATTCACTCGCTCGCTTGGGCTAAATCTGGCATGACTCGCTCTGAGCCGTCGATCACAATCGAACGGTTGTCCGGCCATCTCGACGGATCAAAACTGCCCACAGCCGGCTCTCCCTGAAACCCTAACTTCATTCGCTTCTCCCCTTTCTCTCTCTACGTCGCGCGCATGACAGCGGTGGCTGACCATGGCGGCCAGGGAAGAAGTGGTGGCGCCACCGTGGGGCTCCTCGCCGGCAAGTGCGCTCGTCCGAGGCTGAGCGCGCCACCGTCAAGCGGCCTTGCAACGTTGCCCTTGACCCCGAGCTCGAGGCGGAGGGCCACGCGATGGTGTGACCTCCCCGGCCGGCGGCTCGGGTCTCTGCCCGCACGGTGGTGGTGCCTTCGTTCCCGCTCTAACGACGGTAGTGCCAGTAGTGAGGAGAGCCCAGGTAGGCCCCCTCTTGCACTTCGACTTTTATTGCTGGGTTAGGGTTAAGGTTAGGGTTTGATCTGAATCGAATCGAATCACCTCCTTCTTTCTTTTTGAGGCGGAAGATGGTGGCGCCATCGTGGATCCCTTCGCCGGAGCTCGCGTGCGTCCGTCACGTGGCTCCATCGAATGGTCTCACGGCGGTGCCCTTATGCTGGAGTCCGCGTGAGCACAGAGGAAAAATAGCGACGGTGCTGTGCGGCTCACTTCCTGCGTGCCATCGAAGCGTGTAAGGTCAAGATGGCGGACTAGAGGGGGGTGAATAGTCATTTTTAAAATTAATCGCGTCGGCTAACCTAAACAAGTACGGAAATAAAACTATCGGTCTAGCCAAGACTACACCCCTTTATTTATGTTCTCTAGCACCTTCCAAAGATACTAATTAAACAACAAAGGTGCCGGGCTAGCTAGAGCTCACCTAACCAATTCTAGAAGCAAGGTCACATAAACCTATGCCACTAGTACTTCAAGCAACAAGGGAGCTCCTACACATGCTAGTAAGCAAAAGCACAAAGCCATCTAAGCTCACTAGCAATGCTCAATAACAAGGCAACCAATGCCAAATTAGAGAGCGCAAATACTTAGCTACACAAACTAAGTAAAGTGACTAATAAGGTTACATAAACCAAATTAGCCACGCAAGGGATCTACTTCTATGCTACACAAGCAAGAAGGTAACTAGTGAGCTACATAAACTAACTAATCACAAGAGCAACTACACAAGCACAATGTATATAAAAGTAATCATAAGCTTGTGTAAGGGGATTGCAAACCAACGGGAAGAACAAGGTTAACACGGTGATTTTCTCCCGAGGTTCACGTGCTTGCCAACACGCTAGTCCCCGTTGTGTCGACCGCTCACTTGGTGGTTCGGCGGCTAATTGGCATCACCCGCCGAGCCCGCACGTCGGGCACCGCAAGAACCTACCTCGAAAGTGAGGGTAGCTCAATGACACGCTTTACTAGAGTTGCTCTTCGCGGCTCCCACGGGGAAAGCACAATGCCCCTCACAAAGCTCTTCTCCGGAGCACCGCACAAGCTTCTTGCGGGCTTCGACGGAGACCACCACCAAGCCGTCTAGGAGGTGGCAACCTCCAAGAGTAACAAGCACCACCGGCTTGCAACTCAATCACCTAGTGCCACTCGATGCAACCTCACGATGCAATCGCACTAGAATCGCTCTCTCACACAATCGGATGATCACTATCAGGCATATGTGAGATGGAGGGCTCCCAAGCACTCTCAAGCATGGACACAAAATCCCCTGAGGTGCTCAGCACCAGCCATGGCCGAGACATCCTTCTATTTATAGCCTCACGGGCTAAACTAGCTGTTACCCCTTCACTAGGTGTTTTTCGGGTTGATCAGACGCGCCGGTCATATCGACCGGACGCAGGACCTCAGCGTCCGATCAACGGATGCTCGCCACATGTCACCACCGTTCAACCTCAGTCGTTTGATCTCAACAGTCAAATGATGACCGGACGCGCTGCTGTGAAGTGACCGGACGCAGCAACCCTAGCGTCCAGTCGTTTCCAGTAAGGTACCAGTCGCGACCGGATGCGTCCGGTCGGTCACGATCGGACGCAGCATCAGCGTCTGGTCCTTCTCCACCTTGTCTGCGTCGCCTATGTCACTGTACGTCAGCCTGACCGGACGCACCCTGCCAGCGTCCGGTCACTTTCAGCGCCAGCGTCCGGTCGAAGACCAACGCTCGCACGCTCTCTGCCGCCACTAACCGGACGTAGGACCCCAGCGTCCGGTCACCACGTGACCAGCGTCCGGTTCATTCTATGAGACCCTGTCTTTTCTGTATAGGGCGTCGGTGGCACCGTCGGACTGTCCGCACTCTATGGGCGGACACTCCGCCGGTGGAGTTCCTAACCCTTCTCGCATCCGTTTCATCGCCGAGTTGATCCACATCAACTCCAACTTCATCTCCTTTATAAATGTGCCAACACCACCAAGTGTACACCATGATGTGTATGTGTGCTAGCATTTTCACAATCATTTTCCAAAGGATTAGCCACTCAACTTGCCACGACACTCAATCCTAGCGACGATGCAAAGTTAGATCACTCGAGTGGCAGTAGATGACCGATATGCAAACAAGTTTGCCCCTCTTGATAGTACGGCCATCTATCCTAAACCCGGTCATCAACTTCTCTACACACCTATGACCGGTGAAATGAAATGCCCTAGGTTATACCTTTGCCTTGCGCATTCCATTCCATCTCCTCCAATGTCGATGCAACACATGCACCAACATGATCAACAATGATATGATCCACTTCATATCATCATGTGATCATATTGGTTCATCGATCTTGACTTCACTTGCTTTTCACCGTTGCCTTCGTCCATCGGCGACAAGTCTTGCTCAAGCTTCACCGCCACACGGTCCATTGCTCCAAAGCCTCCGACTTGCCCTTCACGCTTGCAACCGGTCCATCAAGCCAAGTCATGTCTTGATCTTCTCCACCTTGATTACATGACTCAATGTTATGTCTCATGTGCAATGAGCTCCTTCATCATCATATGTGTGAGCTTTGCAACATCTCCAAGCCATTTTCGCCTTCATGACATATGTTGCTCACACACATGTACCTGTGGACTAATCATCTATATATCTCACATAAACACAATTAGTCCACCTAGGTTGTCACTCAATTACCAAAACCACACAAGGACCTTTCAAAGCGGCGCCGCGGACTTCTTCCCGTGCGACGGCGGTGGTTACAGCGGTGGAGGAGCTCTTGTGAACCCCCCCTTTCTAGATCTACACCCTAGAAGACCTGGATCTGATACCATTGATAGAACTGATAAAACCTCTAGGTGCAGATCTAGCGGGTGGAACTTGACTTAGACAATACCTTGTTAAGTTCCTCATCGAGAGGCAGTCGCGGCCATGGCACCGCTGACGAGGTAGCAGCGATGTGGAGGCGCGGTCCAGTGGCGGCGGCGAAGGCGATGGCGCCAAACGTCTAACACCGGGGGCAGTCGGTGCCACCCGTCCATGATGGGGTCCCAGACGCTTAGGTAGAGACCCAAGAGCAAGCTGAGGAGGACCCCGCCGTGGCGGGCGTCGAGCGCGCGCCAGTTGTGGTCGACGCAGAGCGGGCAGGCGGAGGAGGTGGGGAGGAGGTGCGAGACATAGTCGCCGTCTTGGTCTCTGAAATTGCAGAGGAGACCGAACATGGGGGGCGAGCGGTGGAACTCAGAGAATCGTCGGCGGAAGCGGCGGTCGGAGATGATGCGGCACCAGGGCTTGCAGACGAGGGCGGCGCGGAAGAGGCTCGCGGGATCCGCCGGCGGGAGGCGGAGGAGGACCTCCTCCACGAGCTCCTCCAGCAGCACCACGCTGCTTGGTGCCTGCTTCGCCGGAACCCGGTGCCGGCGGGCGGAGCGAGGGTTTTGGTCGTTGGGAGAAGTGAAGGGAGAGCGAGCGAGCGAGCGAGCAGAGAAAGGGACGGTAAGGAATTGTGCCTTCTTGGGTTGGTTGAGATACATGGGCCGGGCTGGCGTGCTCTTCCGGGTAGGATGGGCCGTTCTGTGGCCCAGCGGTGGGTAGAGTTGTCTGAATGATTGTGTAGTCTAGTCATCATTTGTTATTTTTGTGGTAGCTCTAAATCATTGGCATTCAACAGTGTTCAGACGATTCATCAGCAGGCTATTACAGTATAGTTTGCGCATAGCCACAGGGAGCAGAAGAACAATCATATATCCTGATTATGCAGTCATTCAAGCATTCAGAAAATGCAGATATCAAGTTGTATGCAAACATTCAGGCATTCAGAAAATGCAGGTATCAAGATGTATGCAGATTCAGAGCTCTTGGGCAACATGAGCCACCGAAATAAGAACATGCTCGTCTGACGGGAATACAAGGCAACATAACATGAGTCGGACTAGGCATAATACTTAGAGATCAAAACTCCTGGCTGGTGTTCATGTGTTTGAGCGTGCTGCTGCGCACAGGAGTTCCTCGATACGGTCATTCCTTCATTTTCTGCATGGGCGTGTACGGCACTAAGTGTTGCCATGCTATGCCACCCGCTGTTGATCCATTGCTACTGTTAGCCGCGATACAATGATCTCGAGTTTCAAGCGCTATTGCAGATTTGCAGATGTACATATTCGACTGATAAAAGAAGTTGCATGCATCAAAAATATATATTAAAATATTATTATTTATGGTATATAATTAATATCATCGGAAAGATCTTTGAATCTAGTTTTTAATAAATTTATTTGGAGAAGCATCAACGGTGGCCCAAAACCCTAAAAACGACACGACAATTAAACTGGGACGGAGGGAGTAAGCATCAACGGTGGCCCTCACCGTGTAAACAGCACTATGTATCTATACTATATACGAGATATGATGGCGCGACTAGGACGTGTCGGCCAGTCGATAGATACATTCCTTCTGGCCGAGGGAATGAACGAACGAGCGGGGTCTGAGAAAGCCTGGGCCACTCGATCCAACCACGGATCGATCGATTGATCGGCCCATTACTTATTTTAATTTTTATTAGGGCTTTGTCTGCTTATGATGGCCGAATTAAGGTGCGATGGCTACGTGTTGCAAACTTGCAATCAATAGCCGGCGTGACACATCACGCGGATCAGTTATGGAGGCACCGATCCGTGTCGTGTCGGGCAACATTCCCAATTTCTCATGCGACGCAGGATCTAGTAATCTAGTATTGTTGAGTACAGAGTGCACGTCTACCCATCCTCAATCATGGACGATCCACCCTATTTGTCTTCCTCGTTCACATTTTCCTCTTTCTACCGCATCTTTATTTTTTATTTTTTTTACGAGACCCAGTTACTAACACCGACCTTTACAAACACAAGCGCACATTCATCCTTATAAACGCACGTATATACACCCTACCCATATGAGCACCAACGAAGAACTGAGTTGAACAAGTAAATCTCGAGATTGACGAAGTCACCACAGGCGCCTCGTTGTCGACGGACACGTCACCTATCACTGGAAGAATAGCGCCGTTAAATCCTGGAATAAATCCAGAAAAATACGAGCATCTGTGTGTATATATTTGAGGTCTCAAAACACAAAAGATGAGGGCGAAGACAGGATCGTTCGGTAACATAAGCACAAACTACTGAAAGCTGGTTAAAAAAAAACTACTGAAATCTGATCCAGAAACCATGGACACCCCACTATGCAAATTCTCTCCTTTTCTTTCACAACTGGTTTTGACATGAGACTGCACACTTGCGTTATTCACTTGGCTTATAAGCCTAATTTTTCAACCAACGAACATTATTTTTCTCTCACAACAAATCAACCAACAATACTTTTAGCCATGACTTATCAGCCAAGCGAACAGAGTATTGGTATTATATGCATAACTTGGAGACTGGCACACCATGCTGTTCGGCTGGTATTAAATCCGACTGATAAACCGGCTGAACTATTTTGTTGTGAGAGGAAAATACTGTAGATTCTAGCTGATAAGCTGGCTGATAAGTTCAAGCGAACAGGCAGTAGCTTAGGGTGTCCCTAACAGTCGTCTCCATTGTCGACCGAATAGGTTTGGAAGCACGCTCGGACCGAGGCCCCGTTTAGATGCGAATTTTTTTGGCTTTTGGCTGCTGTAGCACTTTCGTTTGTATTTGGCAAAAATTGTCTAATTATGGACTATTTAGGCTTAAAAGATTCGTCTCGTCAACAGACAGGCTGTACAATAGGGTTTTACCTATATTTAATGTTCCAGTCGTCAAGATTTGATGTGACAAGAAATCCGAATAGGATTTTTGGTGGGACGCTCAGACTGACTGACGTGGAGGTGAGAAAACAGGCAAAAAGTGAATTGCTATCGATTTGTTTGGTGCTAGCGCGAAGCCAGTGGGAGCCAATATGTGATGGGCGCATGCAGCTTTTTTACTCTGATGGCAAACCGGAAGCCGCTGGTGGAGAAAAATGCTCTGATTAATTAATTCTGATGTTTATTGCCCTGTTCTTGATTGATAAGTCATGGCTTACTATCGAGCTGATTTATCGTGAGAGAAAAATACTGTTCATTGATTAAAAAAGTACGGTTTATAAGCCAAGCGAATAGAGCATATGCCCACAGCTAATCATGTCCATCTCAGCCGTCGAAATCGACGTCACAACTGCAGACACCCTTATGGCCCGGAATTAGAAGGTGGAAAACTACACAGATAACTGGTTCCAATGCATGGTAATAGAAGGAATAAAGCACCTGCACAAATTCAGTGACGATGGTGGTATATGGAAGTCAAGATGTTTCTAATTTGTAAGAATTTCTACATGTGATTGGTAAAAATACCAAGTAAGATGGAGATAATCCGTGCCGTTCACTTCATGTTGAAGATCCAACACAAGAAATTTAGCATTTCAACACAAGAAGGGCCTTTTTGTTTATGCTTGTGGCTTATATAAGCTGGCTTATGGATCATGGATAGTAGAATATTTGGGTCCTGTTTGTTTTGATGAAATTTGGTTGTTGATGTTGATTTCTTGTGAGAGAATAAAGGCTCACTTTTTCTTACTAGAATTCTAGTCTAGATTAAAAAAAAAGCACACTTAACTCACGTTTCGTTGGAGGGGATTAATTAGGCGTAGCTCCGTCACATTTTGTACGTGTAATCGACATCAGTTAAATCCCGCTTGACTCCCGCGTCGCTTGCTTCGCAAGGAAGTCTTGCTTTTCCCTACTTCCACGCTCATAACTGCATATGGTCCGTGTGACGGTTGTGCGAAATGGAGGCGGCATTAGGATGGCCATTAAAGGCCTTGACAGTGGAAGATCCCAGCACCCGGCTATTCCTGCTGCGGCATATCCTTCTCGCAAGCGAGCACATCATGTGTCCTCCACGTTTCTAAGTCCTATTACGGTTTTGTTTGAACGTTGCGGATTCACTTCAATCCATATGGGTTAGTGTGAATTTAGATAGAATTTAGTTAAGTTTCATTTCAATCCAGCTCAACATACATGGATTGATGTGAATCTGACTATATCCCAACAAGGTCTACACTTTTAAGAGCCCGTTCGGTTATGTGGGAATAATTATCAGCTGCACTGTTCCTTTGTTAATTTACATAGCAGCGGAATGATTTCGGGCGTGAAACGGCCCGGAACGGGCCCTAAGTGCCGTTTGCTTCTAGAAACCTGCTTCGTACCTTCATCTAGATAAAAATTTCTAATATTTTGTTGGCCTGAGGTTGTCGCTGGGCGCCAAAGCGGAAATGCGTGACAGAGCAAGCAAACATGTCCTTAACGCCCGTTCCTTCCTTTATTTGCCGGAGGGCTGGAGTCTGCAATCTCGCGCATATAAATACAAATGGCCTGTTGGTTTCGCTAAAATTTAGCTGAAGCTGATTTGTTCTTAAAAAATTATTGTTCATTTGCTGAAAAATACTATTTAAGTAGTATCAGACCTTAATGTTTCACTTAAAATTGGTGTGAATCTCAATTTCTTCCCGGCTAAACTCCGGGGGGAAAAATGGAGCCCTCTCCTTCAGCGGTGAGAGTCTTGGCGTCCTGGCTTGCACGGTTTCACGTTCACTGAAAAACTACACTCCGTCTCCCTGACTCCCTCTCTCGCCACACGAACTCTCGGCACTCGGCAGTTCGGCCTTGCTCACGCGGACACTGGTCACCACTGGTGCCCAGCCTTGCTGTGCACAGCAGGACAGCAGAGCACTACCCGTTGCGGAAACAAGTGTACAGTACAAGCGTACGCGCCATGGTCGGCCGGCCGGCACTCCATTAACGCAAGCCATTAACGCCCTCCTACCCCCCTGCCCCACCCCAACCCCTGCCCGCCATCAATGCGGTCCATATGCCTCGCCCCAAATCCCCCCCAACCTCCTTCCCCAGTTGCCCCGCCGCATCAATGCGCTGCCGCCTGCTGGCTGCCTCGCCTCAAACCCCCTACCAACCTCCTTCGCCAGTTCGCCCCCGCCGCATCATATTGTTCGCAGCTCAAAAGATTTGCGTGATTTTCAACTGCCGCCTGCTGGCTGCTGCTCGCCATTGCGGATGATCATTCAAGGGTCAGGTCATTCTTTCTTTCCAGCCTCCCTAGTTAACCCGCCTAACAAAAGTATATGGAACTGCCCGCTGAAAAGAAAATCGATCTCAAGGCCTTAGCTAGCCCGTTGCTTGCAAGCCTCGCGCCGCATTATTGCCACCTGCCGCTATATATACATACAAGCGCGCGCGGCGCAACACGCAATCAGAAGAGTGGTTGTTGGAGAGCGATCTAGCTAGCCGGCCAAGGAGCCAGGAGGAGCGAGCGATGGTGTTCTTCTGCTTCCTGGTGGACCAGCGGCGGAAGGTGCGGAGCAGCAAGCCGGCGGCGGGGATCTGCTCGCGCTGCGGCGGGTGCGCCAGCGTGGCGGACATGGAGACCGCCACCAGGGTCTGCTACCTGCTCACCGTGCACCGCCGCACCTGGCGCGCCATCATCTGCACCTTCTGCGGCGCCATGCTCAAGTCCTACCGCCA